ACCATTGCGAGTCATTGTAAAAGGCCAGGTATGCATTCAATCACCCACCTCTAACAATTTTACGAATGGAGTCGAATGTATGGCGCATCTCAGTGATTAATTAACGCCGATAGCTTTATGTTTTAATATAACGTCACAACTAATAAGCAAAACGTTCAGCATAAAGAAAGTCGGTCATCTAGATTTTCTACACGACAAAAAGAATACTGGACATCCCATGCTATGCAGAATTTATCACTAAAACAAATGCGGTTTCAAGACACTAGGCCATATCCGATAACAGGAACTACTACAAATGGCTGTTCCACATTAAGCAAACCGAACTTTCTCGAAGACAAAAACAATGAAAGTCAAGAAAAGAAAAACACCAGCATTGTTGGTTATTGAATTTAGAACCGTATAAATTTGAGAGCAGAACAATGTGAATAAGTACAAGGGATAAAAGAAAGGATAAAACTCTCAGCAATGAACAATCCCTGAAGGATGCGCCATGCATTCGACTTCATTAAGCATCGCTGGAGATGATTGAATGCATAGTTAGCCCATAAAATGACTTGAGGTGACCGAGCGATGTATCGACTCAGTGCTGCTATCCTCCTAAGTCTGGTACCAATCTGTCGAACCCGGAGAGATGGAAGGCTTGATGAGCATGGGGCACGGGGATCGATCCCAAGTGTATTGCATGGCACCTCCGACCACTGCGCGATATGCGTCCCCTCAATTAGTATAAGGCAAATATACGACTAACTAAAATGAACATTTTAACTACTACAACGCATACCTCGACCAACTAAAGTAATCCTTGGAGTAGATCGAGTAGAAAAGGTTGGCCTAGTAGGATGGCGAGAAGCTTCATGCTCTATACGAGGTGGAAGCTTTTGCAAAACTGTCTGATCTAAAGTACTTATGAATCAAGCTCTAACAATATTTTTCCTCATTCGTAAGAGTCACCCTACCTTCCTCTCATGGATTGAAAGAAATGTTAACAAACTTAACAGAACGTTAACTGTAGCCTACCTTACTAATTTTATTATCACCTAAATACATCTAAAACATTAATCACATGCGTCGAGAACAAAGTAGACAAGACTTGAGTGGAACAGCTTTACCTTTAGTGTCACATAAAGAAGCTGTCTGTACATCAACAAAATGAGCACTCTGGATCTGAAACAACCTGGATAACCAGTAGTTTAAAATCCTGGAAAAAACTCCAACTATTTTGAACTCCTCACCATCGAACCAGCTCAAATACGTGTAATAAGACTTCAGCTTACACTATTATAAAAAAAAAATAACCAATTGTGGCCATTCCAGATGCCTTGATTTAGATCCTTTAATATGGAAATGAGATAGAAAGACATAAAAATAAACGTGAAGAAACTCGATCTCGATCCCACGACGATAACGTCATCGCCCATAGTCCTTACCCCGAAAAAAGCACTAATAGTAATAAAAAAAAAGCATGAAAATCGTTATATGTTCAATAGTAACCGTCTCCACGTCGATAATTTCTTCCACGTCACTGTCAACGCTTCGATTCGAAGAGGTTCCCACGGCACCTTGGTCCGGAGTGTACGGCCTTTTCCGGACAATCCGTCGTCTCATGCTATCTGTAGGAAACAGAATACTCTTGTCGCTCCATGATCCACATAATCAATCCAGATTTACATAAGTGTCGACAAAACGAAGCGCTTAGTTCTTTGAGCATCTTTTCTCATCCCTCTAGTCAAAAAAGAAAGTAAACAAAACTAAACTATAATTAGCCGTAGTTGTAAATTAAAGGACCAGAGTAAACTTAGTACAAAAGCTTTGAGCACAGTTCTCAGAACAAAATGAGATGTTCGAAGAGAGTTCTTCGCGGTTAATGAGTAGGCGATGGTATGAGTTTTCCTTAAACTAAGAGTATCCACTTGAACACCATTACGAACAGAATGCTCACCCAGTTATTTGAAAAATAATTCTTCCATAAGAAACAGTACATGATATGATCCAGTTCGTGGAACAACTCTAGCTCAACGAACCGTCAACGAAGTAGAGAGAGATCGCATAATCTCTTACGATATCTGCGACCGCAATATCTCGTAAAACAATGCATCAATTGCACCCTAAATGACGCCACATTTCAGCATTTTGCGGTCTTGCAACTGACCCGTTGCAACTGCTGCTGGCCCGGTGTGGTGGGACTGGTAGCACTTATGGCTAATACTTGCATTTTCAGAACTTTCTGTGGTTGCTACATCTGTCTAGAGAATGGGTGGCAAACTGGTAGTGGTGCCGATAATCACGAGCACGGTGCTGGTTCGATCTACGTTCGGGCTTACCAAATCTTCCATCCCTACAGAGTTTGGAAATTGGTACCAAACTTGTCCGAGAAGAAATCACTCTCTGCAGTCCAAGTAGGGACGCTCCACCCCAGCTATCTCAGGACTCTAGTCAGAGTTGACTGGGCCAGCGTTCTACAACATTCAAGATCAAGATATTGAGTGAGCGAGCAGTATAGTAACAAGCTCATGTCTGTTGGTGAAGAAAACTGAATTATTTGGTCGTGGGATTAACTAATTATGGTTTTATTAAGGGTACGTGCAGCACAGTGGTTAGACATACTCTGCAATACGTACGAAGTTCTTGGTTCGTTCCAGCACCTTGAGCTCACCAATCCTTTCTCCTTTCCAGGTCGCCAAATTGTTACCAGACTTGTTCGGGGGAGATAGGAATACTGACTCCATCCAACAGCAGGCCATCGAAAGTCGTTCGATGATTCTTCCAGTCTATCCAACGCTGGTATATTTCGCCCATTTCCTTTGTCCTCTTTCATGCTGTATGTATTCAGACATCTCTATCACATTTGATGACGTCGAATACGCGACGTTTCCGTAAGGGAGAGAACCAGGCCAAACGCCTTTATGCCATACACTTTATGGATCCGTTAAGAGAGTCACTTTAATCATGTTCTAACTTAGGCCTCAAGGTGTACGAACGTAGTTAGGCATTTCCATAGTTGGTTATCTGCAAATACTGAAACCAGGTTTTATATCACTAGAGAACATTCTATCAGTGGACCCACCTATGTCTCAAAAAGTCTGTAGCAAAGAACGAAAAAAACGCGCTAGACTGGACGGATTCACAGGATGCTTGGTAGGTGATGCAGATCGCCGATAACTGTGAGTTTGAACTGTGGGTTTGTGAGAACTTTGCTTGATCAGAAGTACGCATCAATATTTGAGAGCTTTTGAGAGAAGGTTGATTTCCCGGATTCCCCTTGCGGATTCGTGAGCCAGCTTACAGTAGCTTTTCTAACCAACGATCAAATGCATTTCTTTCAGCTGAGTGCAGTAATTCGATGTTGCGACAAACAACGACATAAATGCCCCGAGGCAATAAGAAAATGAACTGTCTTTAATGTAGTAAATCTCCACTTTTCACCGACGTGCTCAAAATTGTTAGTAACATGGATAACGGTCTAGACAGATCTCACTTACTTGGGTACTTGTGTGGCCCGTCTTCACTAGGAATATATACATATTACATATATATATATGTAATATATATATATATATACATATTATATATACATATATACATATTATATATACATATATATACATATTATATATATACATATATATACATATTGTATATATATATACATGCATATTCTCTCAGAGCGCGTGTGGCGCAGTGGTCGGAGGCGCACTGCAACGCACACGTGGAATCGATACCCGCGCCCGTGGCCCACCAAACCCTTCATGCCTGCGGGGTCGGCAAATTGGTACCAGGCTTGTCTGGAAGGATAGCACCACCGGTTCGAAACATCTTTAGGCTACCGCGAGCCAATGTTTAGGCCAGATATGCATTTATTTATTATTCAAATATGCACTCCAGCGATTATTAATGAAGTCGAATGCATTCTTCAGGGATTGATCAACGCCGAGAGCTCTAGCTTTACCCGCACAGACCTCGTTATTCCGATGATATGTAAACCAACAAGAACTACAAACTCTTAGAAGTAAATGTTCATTGCACTATGAAAAAAAAAAAATGCAATCTAGATATCATTTCATAACTGGACGTCTTCTATGGCTTCCTAGTGTCCCTTCTACACGGCTATTCACGCGCCGTTCTTGACTAGGGCTAACTCTAAATAATATCACTAATGGATCTCTCCACTTCAAGTCACCTACATTTATTGGGAAATACAAAACAATCAACGCTAAAGCAATGGAACCAAGATATTTAATTGACCTCTTCTCGTGTGCCAAATATATAACAAAAATAAGTGAAAAAAAAACAACTCGTACATGGAGACCAACTTTAAGCATAATAAGAACCAAAAACAAGTAAAAGAACATATGTGCCTGCATACGGTAACATTTTAATGGGAAGAATAATTAATTCAGGAAAAATCCTAGCCTCTTATGTGACAAGATCTACACAGAAGTTCGGATCCACTATGTGTCAATCCCGTTTCGATTCGAAGGGAACCTTATCCACGGTGCTAATACCTTCAGAAAAAATGCTTTAATGTATAGATCCAATATCTACAATTTTATAAATCTTGCATGTATAGTTGTCCTAGATCCCCTTAAATACGGCTAATCTATGGAAAGAGTTTAGATTCGATGCAGATCCATTTACGTATCCTAAGCATCGACAACCTCCCAAGTAATTCACAAAGCTTTCATTCAGTTTGCTTCAGATATGACAAGATCATTCCGTTATACACCTTTGGAGAAGACAATACCATCCAATCATACAGCTTTCGATATGAAAAGACCATCTGATCATAGAGTTTTAGAGATGACAAAGTCAATCATTTGATTATTCAAGGAGAAACGCTCCCACTTAAACAAATCGATTTTCGGTGCTTATGAACAAACATAACCATACTTATACAGAAAGGTAACTTCTCTGGGTTTAACAAACACCTGTAAATTTCTCCTAAGTGTAAATACAAGTTATAGTCCAACTGGTAGAATTCTTTCATGCCAGAACAAATCGGACTAAGCCGATGAGTTCGATGAACGTTTAATTTTCTCTTCCCAGTATTTGATTTTCATCTCAACCAAATAACGTTTCCGTTGAATCAATTCCATTTCAGCATCGACAAGACGGTGCCGTTTAACAGTAATGTCCTCAAAATCATCGTCAAAAGAGCGCCTAAATAAATGAGACAATAATATAGCAGAAAAAGGAGATAAGTGCACATTTGAAGACTTCAGCAGGGTATTAATTGCAGGTCAAGAAAGGTTTTGATAAAAATGTTCTCGTATGTTTAACCCAGTGGCACCAAATTGAGTCGTATACGAAATGAAGCACGCGTTTTCGAGCAAATTGGCTAAGATTAACCATTTACCACAAATTTTCCTTCTCCACCACTAAATTCTGAGGCGCGGATAGCGCAGTGGTTAGAGGCACCTCGGAAGCCACATGGAATCGATTCCGCTGCCCAGGCTCACAAATCCTGCAATCCCTCCGGATTTAACAAATTAGTACCACACCTGTCTGGGAGGATGGTAGCACTGACTTAATACATCGATAGGCCACTGCGGCTCATTTAATGAGCCAGATATGCATCCAATCATTTCTAGCGAAGTCTAATAAGGTCGGATGCATGACGTATCCCTCACGAATTGACCAACGCTGAGAGCTTTGTCCTTTTATCATCTCCCCTAAACTCCTCCAGGTAACGAGGGACTGTAGTCTACTGTTGAAAAATTACCAAATCAACACCGATATGAAATTAAAAATAAAAAAAAAGGATAAAGGTCCCGGCATTGAATAATCCCTAAGGGATGCGCCATGCATTCGACTTCATTAATCATCGTTTGGAGGTGATTGAATGCATATCTGCCCTTTACAATAACTCGCAGTGGCGAACCGATGTATCGAACCAATGCTGCTATCCTCCCAGAGAAGTCTGGTACCAATTTGCCAACTCCGGAAAGATGGAAGTCTTGGTGGGCCAGATGGGAAGGAATCGACCCCATGTGTATTGCAAGGCACCTCCGACCACTAAGCCACACGCCCCTTTAAATATGGGATATAAGCTGCTGTAAATTATTGTAATGAAAGAGACATTCGGCCCATCACATCCACTATGTTAAAAAAACAAACCAATAGCAGAATTCGCTAACGTTCTTACTTCCTTTTAGAAAAGAGTCCTAAACGTTTTGAAAAAAAAAGATATTCCTTGCTACCTAATCCTTTCGAAACAGGCGGGAATAAGAACCAAAATCTGCTGGATGAAATCTACAGTGCAGAAAATCACTCGCTTTTTTTTATTGCTAAATAGCGGAGGGAGAATAGTAGAATTCTTGAATGGTGTTACGGGGGCCACAGGAGGCAGATCGAGAACTTGAGCCACCGTCGAGACGTGAGATAAATTGCTTATTGATGAACCCTAAAACAAATTATTAATAGTTTCTTTGGATTTCAGCATTAGACGAATGAAAATGGTATTATATCAATATACCTCAACATTATCGTTAGCACTTGTTTCGACATCAGGGTCAATATCTGTACATCTACACTCATCTACATTAAACCCACCAACTGGAGATAAAGACTCCTCTTTCACATTCTTCAAGAAATCGTAAAATCTTGCTGCACTATCGTCTGAAATCATCAAAAACATTACATTAACAACTTAACAGATGTATACACACGATGGAATATTTACCGATAAGGAGATCTAATCCAGTGTCATTCGATCGCTTAGTATATTCTTCGCGTAGCTTCTTTTCAAGTTGTTTCAAATGTGGCGGCAAGTCATCCATGCGCTTAGTTCGAATGTTTTCACCCTGTAATAAGTCAGTCCTTTAGACATCTCTTTATGAACAATGGGTCAATCAAGGTGTACAACCGTTAATCCGAAGGTATCACCTTCATTCCTGAATAGGCGCTGTATTTCGCAGCATCCTTCCCACTGGTTTACCACCTCATCGCAACTGGGAGATCTTCCTGGAGTGCCTGGCTGCGGCGTATAGAGAGCGGTTCACCTCCTTAACAGGGTCTCCCAAGCTGGAAAGGAGTCCGACGTTCCCATCCAGAAACCCAGATAAGAGTAAACCAAAACCAGAATACGCCACAGTCCTGGCATCAAACTAGTCGCATGATGGCAAATCCCTCTCTGATCCACAAAGGCCGCGACTGCCTGGGGTGGTGACGACTTGGGGATGGCCTTGGCTATGCTAACCTTGGGACTCCACCAGGAGAACCACGATGATTAAAGCAGCAAATCTCCGGAGAATGGGAATTATGCTTGGGACCACACAATCAGTGCAAATTGGTCATCCAATGTCCAAATATTTCACAGTATCACTACATCGCCAGTCATTCATTTAACTTCACATTTAAAAACTCAAGGAATTCATTTCGCAACCAGTACCCAAATGCCCTAACTATTCGTAGAAGAAGTGAGCAATGAAAAACATATTTAAAAAATCTTTTTTTGGAATCTTAACAGAGTAATTCGGTTTCCATTAACCATGCGAGATTACACATCATCAAGCTTCTTTGCTTCGACGTGCTTATCACTGATCGACAGGATGACGGTTGAGTTCATGGTCCTCACTGCCCATCCATGACGTTGGCGATCACTGGAGCACTGAGGCCATACCGTTCGTTGACGGTCAACATCATAGGCCTCGGTATGTAAGCTTCACATATTGTAGATAGAACGTTATACATATTTCATTTACTTACTTGGATCGCCCGCCTTCGCTGGTTGTGCGGGCCCTAGAATAACCTCCATTTTTTCATAGATTTGCTAATTTAGCCATTCTGTTTCCATGAAGCACCAAGGACAACATGGCAAAAGTCTGCCCCAGGTCTTCACCACCACAGGCAGTCGCCGCCCTCGTGAATCAAAAAGAGATTTGCCACCATGCGACAAGTTTGATACTAGGACGGTAATGGGTTGTGGTATTGGTTTACCCCTAGCTAGGCTTCCTGATGAAAACGCCAGACTCCTCAGTTTGGGATACCCTACTGGGGGACGAATTCCTCCGCTGTACATCGCAGTCCAACATCCAGGAACACCTCCCAGCCACGAACAGGTGGCGGACGGTTGCCAGGTTGTACACATTTACAGAAATAAACACAAAAAATGTACTCCAAAACGCAATAATAAAAAATGCGCTTGCGAGTTTCAAAAGCAAATGAACAACCTGATTAATCGTATGCGCAATATGTAAAATGATTTCCTTTTCAAATCAGAAAGCTTTTGTAAGAGCAAAGTTGTACGTAAACGCATGAAGTGACTTGACGATGTAATAATTAAAATAAGGATGAACGTACATTGGTATTAATAAATTTTCTTGTCACGATGATGCTCTTCTTGATCTTTTCGGCCACTTGAGCCGGTGTACGCCTTGCGAATCGAAGATTTGTTAGCTGTTCGGCCCATTTCTCATGTAAGGAATCACGAACAGCTTTTATACCTTTTTTCGAACCTAGAGAAAAAATAAGTTCGTCAGGATCGATAGTTTCATCTATAGTGATAGTGGCCCAATTAATTCTTTATATTCTTGTTCAGCTAACACGAGGCGTTATTTTATTATTTCATTTCTCTATTTAAGGAAAAGCTGACGTTTCGGCGGATTTCTCCTTCCTCAGAGCCTGGAAAGGTCAAGTTGACCGCAATCTAGCCAGCCAAACACCTCCATAACCGAACAGAAAAAATGCTAAACCAAGATTTCAATCACATTGAACACAGACAAGTGGAAGACTCACAGAAAGTGGTGAGTGTGCGAAGGAGCTATTCAGTGTTCAGTGTGATTGAAATCTTGGTTTATCGCTTTTCCTGTTTGGTTGGGTAGATTGCGGCCAACTCGACTTTTCCAGCCTCTGAGGAAAGTGAAATCCGCCAAAATGTCAGCTCGTGCGTAAATAAACAAGTGAAATAATACCTTGCGTTAGCTCGATAAGAATATAAAGCAATACTTACTAGTTCACGAATAGTATAAATAGGTAGTATTGGTTCATTTACAGACAAAACAATGATACCGTATCCAGACGTAAACTGACAGTTAAAACAGCTTCTTGTCTTCAGAACAAGCATTCTGTTAAATCAGAGAGGAATGAAAGACAATAAAAAAGCCATATAATTGATAAATATAGTAAAATTGTGTCTGCTTAATCTACTGGTTTCAGTTGAGTAGTTGGACATCGTACGTGAAGAGAGAAACTGAGCAATGATGAAAGAGCATACCGTCAGAAAACTTTAAGTAATAGGTGTTGTAGCTCTCTAGGAATAATTTGATGATGAGATCGTTCTCCTGTGAGCACCAATTCACAGATTTCTTCCGTTTCTGCGTAAAATCCATAGCGTAGGGAAATTCTGTAAAGTACTCTAAGGGACTACATAAGAATCAAGCTATGAAACTTGAACAACACTTGTCATATTCATAGAAAATCTCCCGATAGGTGATAGAAATCTAGCGACTTGTTCGACTACATACTGTCGGTTAGTTCATATGTTCGACCCTCCGAGGCATACCAGGTCTCTTATACCTCTAGGAAAATTGGTATTAGATTCGTCTGGGCCCAACTTATTCCCACAAATCCAGCAAGAACGCTCTAGTGTAGCTATCCCAGGACTCGAGGGACAATCGACTTGACCAGAACTTAAAGGTATTCGTAAAGAAGATCGCAGTCCTCAAGCAGCAGTCGAACCCAAACATGGAAAAAGTTCCAGGACCTTCGTGGATAAGAGATACAAGGAAAAGAAGGGATGAAGGACTGGGATCCGCAAAGGGGACATAAAAATGTGTCATGTAAAACAAATAAATAATAAACTACTCCATCATCGATTCTCGTTCTTTCATTGTTACTTTTTTCTTGCAAATTTTCAGCCGATGGAACAAAATAGCTTAAACGACGTAACTATAACACCGTAAAACAAAGCACTAAGTAGACTGGACGTTCTTGAGTGCCCTAGGTCCAGTCAGGCTTGCCGAAATAGAAATCTACAGGACAAATGATGAGCATTTCAATGACAGCTTTAAAAATCGAACCTAAACTCAAGCTAAAGTAATGAATAAAGCCTTGAAACTGGTATAGCCCAGTAATTTTGCGCGCCCAGCAAGCGCGTGCTACCGATGACGCGCGCCGAAATAGAAATGTACGAGACAAATGATGAGCATTTCAATGACTGCTTTAAAAATAAGACCTAAACTAAAGCCAAAGTAATGGATAAGGCCTTGAAACTGGTATAGCCCAGTAGTCCTGCGCGCCCACCAAGCGCGTGCTACCAATGACGCGCGCCGAATGTCAATCGATGCCACGTAGCGCGCGTCGCCGCGCCCGAAGTCAACAAACGTGTCACCTGTCTCCTGTAATTACCTGTAACCTGTTCATGAACGACTGTCTCAAGCCATTACCAGTAGAGTTTCCCTCTCTCTTTTTCTCTCTCTCTCCTTCTCTCTCTCTCAATCCGTGTTAATGGATACGAACAATATCACACTTCCGCCATATCAGGCGCACCCCATTTTACGGAGTTTTAAATCTCCCATACATGTGGGACTGTGGAGCTAATTTGTTGGGGCAAGCCAGAGCTGACTTACGTTTGCATGACTGCATCTGCGTGCATGGGCAAGGTGGTAGTTAATCCGGCACGACAGAGACACGGAACCAACGCTCACTTGCGCCACGGTGGAGGGACAAGGTCACCCTTGGGGCGCGCGTTTAATCCCCAGCCGGCCGCCGCCCGTGAACGCGCCACGTGGCCTCGGCACTAATCGACTCGATATCTCTCGCACGTGAGGGGATTCGTGGTAAGTCAACGTATAGTAGTGGAACGAGCTAATTGAGATGTGGTGTTTCTGGTAGTTAATGAGGTAAAACGACAATGAAGAAAACGTCCGGGGCTAATTACTCCTTAAGGGATGAACCATACATTAGACTCCTTTAAGCATAGATGAAATGCACTTTACTAGTTAATGCTTGCAACTGGAGAAATTCTTGGTAAAGAGTTAATTTTGTACAATAATAAATTCGTACATACATACATACCATAGATGGCGTGTAGTACAGTGGTTAAGCGTGCCGTTCGACAGGCACACGGTGTCTGGTTCATTCCCATGTCCTGGGTAAACAACACCATCATCCATCAAAAAAGCTCCGGATTAATAATAGATCGATAACCCCGCGGAAGACTTTGTGTAGACCAAATATGCATTCAGTCACCTCTACAGTACTATGAATTGAGTCGAATGCGTGCCCAGTGGATTGTCAACACCGAACCCTTCAGCATTTATATTTCTTTATGGTTAGTGCTATAAAAAATGTGGGCCGTAGCCGTACATGGACAATTACTTCATCTTGTTGTTTTTTTTAATGAAGTTACGGTCTTGAAAAAACGGTCTTTCCTTTCAGACGATGTTCTCCACTTTTTTATTTTTTTTTTACCTAATTTTTAGATCGTTACAACTGATGATATCTTGGGAAATAAAAGTGATACTTGTTAGGAAGATGAATACTGCAGTACAAACTTTTTTTATTTTTATACGACCTGTCTTCACGTCTGCCGTGCGGATCCCAGGACTTCTCACCGTCGATTCGTTTCCTCGCATCAACCATGCACGAAGGTCTTCCAACTTTTACGTGTGGCTTCGACTGGTGCTTGAGGATCTTCATTCTATCTTAAATGTTATAGGATGCTGGTCGGGTGGACACTCGCTGAAGTACTGAGACAGCCGGTCTAGAGCGTTCCTAGTTGAATTACAAAGAGCGATTTCTTTCCTGGAGAAGTCCGGTACCAATTTCCCTACCTCGGAGGGATGAACGGCTTGGTAACTCCGCAGAGGGATCGAGGCATCACCGTGCTCGTGGTGGTCGGCAGCACTGGCATTATGCTATCCACCCCATTGCAGTACAAAATAGACCGTTTCGTTTCTGGGTTTCAGGTTTTGCAGATATCTCCTGTTTAAGAAAACTTAAATGCCCATTCTCCTTCTGCTTTCCTCCCTTTGTTTTACCGAAGGGAAACTTTTATTGAGAAGATAGAATAAAAATAACTTATGAATGTGTCGTTTTCTTGTTCAGCAATCGCGAGGTTTTTAAACAGCATACATTTACTTCCATAAAAA